TGCTCCACTTCCACTCCAATTCCCTGCTAATGGCCTGGGGAAAACAGCAGAAGATGGCCCAAATGTTTGGAATTCTGCCACCCAAGTGGAAGACCCAGATGAAGCTCCTGGATAAAGCCTGGCCTGTCTCTGACCATTGCAGCCATCAAGAGAGCAAACAGCAGTAGAAAGATCTCTAATTGCATCTCTCCCTCACTCTATAATTCTTTCAAATAAAATAATTTTTTAAAAGTGTCAGTAAACTATTAATAGCAAAGTCCCTTAAGTATTTTAAATAAGTTACTTTTCACTACAAATTACTAAAGTCTCTTTCCATTAAAAAAAAAATATGAGGTAGACTGTATAACTTTTTGGTAAACCTCAGTAATGAAAATATATCCCAAAAGGCATATTTTTATGAATGATCTGTGGGTATTTTAAAGTTTACTGTATGTGAGTGAAACTGGTATCTTTTCATTTAATTCTTGTTTATAGCCCTTACCTTCCTGCCTAACTATGATCTTTTTACTTTTTATTTGTTGAACTGTTTTTTTTTTTTTCTTTTTAAAGATTTATTTATTTGAAAGGCAGAGCTACAGAGATAGAGGGGGAAGAAACATATATCTTCCTTCTGTTGGTTTACTCTTCAAATGCTCACACACAGGACATGGGTCAGTCCAAAGCCAGGAGCCAAGGAGCTTCTTCTGGGTCTCTCACATGGAAACAGGGGCCCAAGTACTCAGGCCATCCTCTGCTGCTTTCCCAGGCCATTGGCAGGAAGCTGGATTGGAAGTAGAGCAGCCAGAATTCAAACTGCTGCCCATATGGGATGCCAGGTCACAGACAGCATGTTTACCTGCTATGCCAATATGTATGTCCCTATTTGTTAAACTCTTTTATTTAGTGGAGCATTAAGCCCTGACTATAAGTTAAAAATGTTTTCTCAAAAATAAAAAGATTAAGAAATCTCTCATGACATTTTAATTTTTATCTAAGAAATGAACACTTATTAAAGGTACCATCATGTTACGGTCAGAATTTTAAGTAAAATAGGCAGGAAAAATAAAGGAATTTTGCTTACCCTTATATTAATGCTGAAAAATCTATTAGATTTGTATATTTGTAATAAAAACTGTTACTGTAGTCACACGGGGAGTTCCTTTTTCATATGTGTATTATATATTACTTTCAGCTAATAAATGCCTATATTTAAGCAGAAACACTCATGGCTTATCCAAATACAAATATCTTCTCCCCTACAAAAAAAAAAAAAAATTAGCACTATCTTCAAAAGACCTGGTCTTCTTATTCCCTTTCTACTCTTTAAAAAAAAAAAAAAAAGCCAGTCCTGGGATCAGAGACCAACATATCACTAATGATTTCTCAGACTTGAGCACTACCTCAGTTCATTGTTGCTTTGTGTTCAAAGCTACTCAAGTTCCACCTTTCTAAGAAAATTCATCTCTTCAGATGAGATATGATATTAAAGGATATAATCACCTTGGAGAGATTATTTTACCTTTTGACTTCATTAACTCAGCTTGACATAATTACGTTAGAGTGTCTGATGTTCATTCTGTTTCCAACTACATTTACCCTTGCTCTGCATTATTGGATAATACCATACTATAGATGGGAACCAGCTTCCTCTGGATTGCACATGATTTTAAAATGAGCTAGAATACACCCCAGTGAGGCCATGAGAGCTGCTTAAGAGGCTGTTAATAAACATTTTATTAAAAACCCCTTATAGAAGAGGTTCATTAAAGTCTGGCTTTCTTCTGCCTGTCCCAATACCATACCACTGAAAAGGAAACAGACATTGACAGAGTTTTGTGTGTGTCAGGTACTATGTTAGGATTATTACACATTACTTCCCTGTAATTCTTCTACAAAATGTATTTTATAAATGGTGTTCAGAGAAGCTAGGTCTTCCCTGTGGTTAAGTACAGAGGAAATTGATAGGATGGGATTGCAAAGTTCAAGTCTTTTCCAGACTTTATGCTGCATCTCAAGGATGGTTCAGCTGAACTGAGAGTGATGGCAGCAGTCATGATGCCCAGTGTCTTCTCAGAAGTATCTGGTAGTGGGAGGTAAAAAAGCCAATAAAGCTTTGGATTTTTCATGGTATAAATATTCCCACCAAGAGTCATTTTAGGCTACCATGAAGTCACTGAGTTATAGACTTGGGAATACATGTTCCCAGTTGGCTCTAGTGTAAGAACTAGCTCCAACACATCACTGCATATTCCAAAACTGGACAGTGTGTTATCAAGAAAACATAGATTAAAAAATATTGCCCATCACAAAACAGTAAATATTGGAAGACAATTGTGAAACAGATATAGCAAACTCTGTCCAGGTACCACCTTGATAGGAATACATGGCACTTTTTTTTTTTCAAAGCAATTGTGAGATTCATAAGTGAACCATTTCTAGAGTAGAATGCTGAAGTTTTATTTCAGCAGTATATTTTTACCAGAGAGCTTCTCCAAGCAATCAGAGAGCAAGAGGCTTAACAGAAGAATATAAGACATTGAGGGAAGGCAGAGAATGTTATCTAGGTATTAAAAGTGTTTCTATGAGTATTTCCTCCAAATTTTAGACTCAAAGATATAAATTCACATTCACAAATGTGCATAATTCAAAGAATATTTTATTCATTCAATGAGTAATAACTGCAAAATTTCCATGTGACATGCATTGATCCAGAGCCTAGAAATATGCCAGAAACTAAAACAGATTAAATTTTCTGCCACCATGGCTTAGGTTCTAGCAAAAAGAGACAGAAATCAAACAATAAACATAATACATAAAGGAGTAATTTACTTTATATTACATTATGTTCTAAAAATGCTTCCAAAGCCCAAGTTACTATCTTAACTTAAAAATGAAGAATAAATCTACCATATTGTAATGTTTCTAGTTCCTCTATCACATTTTACAGAAATATTCTTTTTACATTTTTTCCTTTTATCTACTTGAAAGGAAGAGAGACAGAGAGAGCAAGTGAGAGTGCTTCCATGTTCTGATTAACATCGCAAAATGCCCACAGCACAGAGGGTTGGGCCAGGGTAAAGTCAGGAGCTAGGAATTCCATCCAGAGACCCAATGTGCATGACAGGGCCCAAGCACTTGAGCCATGATATACTGCATTCCAGGCAAATTAAGAGGAAGTTGAGTTGGAAGCACAGGAATCCAGACTGGAAATCAGCACTTCAAAATGAGATTCGGGTGTTATAAATGGCGGTTTAACCTACTCCGCCACAATACCTGCCCCTCCCATCACATTTCCTATGTCATATCCAGAAATATTAGAAGAAACACCATGGGCCGGCGCTGTGGCATAGCAGGTAAAGCCACCGCCTGCAGTGCTGGCAACCCACATGAGCACCGGTTCAAGTCCTGGGTGCTCCACTTCTGATCCAACTCTCTGCTATGGCCTGGGAAAGCAGCAGAAGATGGCCCAAGTGCTTGGGCCCCTGTACCTACATGGGAAGAAGCTCTTCCCTCCTGGCTTCGGATTGGCATAGCTCTGGCCATTGATTCAAATTGGGAAGTGAACCAGTGGATGGAAGACCTCTTCCTCTCTCTGCCTCTCCTTCTCTCTGTGTGTAACTCTTTTTTTTTAACTTTTATTTAAAAATATAAATTTATAAAGTGCAGCTTATGGATTACAATGGCTTTCCCCCCATAACTTCCCTCCCACCCGCAACCCTCCCCTCTCCTGTTCACTCTCCCATTCCATTCACATCAAGATTCATTTTCAATTATCTTTATATACAGAAGGTCAATTTAATATAAATTAAGTAAAGATTTCAACAGTTTGCACCCAGAAACACAAAGTGTAAAGTACTGTTTGAGTAATAGTTATAGCATTAAATCACATTGTACAACACATTAAGGACAAAGATCCTACATGAGGAGTAAGTGCACAGTGACTCCTGTTGTTGACTTAACAATTTGACACTCTTGTTTATGGCGTCAGTAATCACCTGAGGCTCTTGTCATGAGTTGCCAAGGCTATGGAAGACTTTTGAGTTTGTCGACTCTGATCTTATTTAGACAAGGTCATAGTCAAAGTGGAAGTTCTCTCCTCCCTTCAGAGAAAGGTACCTCCTCCTTTGATGGCTCATTTTTCTACTGGAATCTCACTTGCAGAGATCTTTCATTTAGTATTTTGTTTTGTTTTGTTTTTGTTTGTTTGTTTGTTTTTTGCCAGATTGTCTTGGCTTTCCATGCCTAAAATACTCTCAGGGGCTCTTCAGCCAGATCTGAATGCCTTAAGGGCTGATTCTGAGGCCAGAGTGCTATTTAGGACATCTGCCATTCTATGAGTCTTCTGTGTATCCTGCTTCCCATGTTGGATCGTTCTCTCCTTCTTAATTCTATCAGATAGTATTAGCAGATACTAGTCTGGTTTATGTGATCTCTTTGACACTTAGACCTATCATTATGGTCAATTGTGAACTGAAAATGATCACTTGACTAGTGAGATGGCATTGGTACATGCCACCTTGATGGAATTGAATTGGAATCCCCTGGTATGTTTTTTTTTCCACTTTTTTTTTTATTTAGTAAATATAAATTTCCAAAATACAGTATGTTTCTAACTATACTGTTTGGGACAAGTCAGATTGAGCATGATCCAAATTGTAGTCTGGAGATTCCTCAGAATCCTGAATATAACCCCATCATACAACCCAGCCATCCCACACCTTGGAATTTACCCAAAGGATATTAAATTGGAAAAAAAACAGCTGTCTGCACCTTAATGTATATTGCAGCTCAATTCACAATAGCTAAGACCTGGAATCAACCTAAATGCCCATCAACAGTAGATTGGATAAAGAAATTATGGGAGGCCGGCATCACAGCTCACTAGGCTAATCCTCCGCCTTGCGGCGCTGGCACACCGGGTTCTAGTCCCGGTCGGGGTGCCGGATTCTGTCCCTGTTGCCCCTCTTCTAGGCCAGCTC